CCCCCCCCCCCCCCGTGGGGTTTTCTATTTCACAATAGAAAGACACAATGTAAAACACCCACCTGCCTAAGACAACCCCTTTTCTCATCAACCTTGCAGTTACAACACCACCAGATTTTTCCTACAAACGCAAGGCGCTGCTGTCCACTCACAACACAATAAAAAGAGCAACCTACTGGACCATAGGGCGAGGTACAAAGTTGAAAAAGTGGGACGGCCCATATATGGTATACAACACAACAACCACCCATCTGGAACAGCAAAATAAACATGTGCTAACGAAATTATTTGGGACATCTTTCCATCGCATGAGCGCACTGCTGAAATTCTAAGCCTCAGGAATTCACTCCTTATGTTAAGATCCACAAATCAATCTACAAAATCTGAATTATATTGTACATACGGATAAAACACTTTTCTTTGGTAAGAGTTTTATGGCACTTGCAACACAATAAGGTCATATAAGTGCTGAAGATTAAAAGTGTTACAAGAGAGTAACAAATATAAAAGAAGGAGGAGAGATCAGGACGATAGATAGGAAAGAATGAGCAAACCACACCAGAGCACCCTTCAACAACCCACGGAAAAACCATGCAAGTAATTACATATTATCATCAGTAACAATGTACGAGAAAAAACGTCCATGTTCCAAGAACCCAAATATATTAATAATAAATACATTAAGAAAAAGAAACCAACAAAACATACACAACAAGCACAAGGAAAGAAAAAAAAGGGAAGGAGGGGCATGAACAGACATTCCGAACATCTCACACATACACACATGATCACATACACACATTAAACTTAACACACAACAAAAGAAACACACAATGAGAAACAGCTGAACAAAAGTTATAGCAACAGAAAAAAACACAAACAAACAAGAGTAATTTTACTGCAATTATTTCGTATAAACAACACTAATAACCACTTTAGCAATCAACGAAAAAGAAGTAACCAAGTATAAAAACAAAATATAAAGTACTGAGGAAAAAGCACAAAAATCGAAAGAACAAAGTAAAGAAAACAAAGACGGAAGGAGAGGGGAGGGGTGAGATATATTCATGACAAGAGCATAAAAGAGTTCAGTTGAAAGACAGGGGACAGAAACAAACATACACAAACAATTAACTGAAGCAAGAACGAGTTAACAATTGCTATTTTGAAAGAACAAAATTATATGACAGACACTTCCAAAGAAAAACAATAAACAGAGAAGAAGGAGAAGACA